TGGTCGCCCTCCACGTTTAATTTTATTTAATAGTCACTTGTCTACTGACACTCTCCACTCTGTTCGTCTCCTCGTCGATTATTAGTCGATACTCTCGTCAACCAAACCTAATTTACTTCTCTCTCTCTCTCTCTCTCTCTCTAAACCCTACATTTCTTTCTTTGAACCAGTTGTAGCTGCTAAAGCACCTCCACTTCCAGAGCTTGGACCTTTAGAAAATGGAGGCTTTTTGGCTCAATCTGGCATCCCGTAGTCGAGCAAAAAATCCTAGATTCATCTCTGTCTCTGATTTCTTTTTTTCCTTTCTTTGTGGCTAAAGCATTTCCATCTTCATAGCAGGGCATTTTAAATCTCTCTCTCTCGAAACTCTGGGTTTCTTTTAGGTTTGAACCGTAGCATCTGCTGAATCACCTCAATTTTCAGAGCCGGAAACTTGAGAAGATGCAGGCCAGAGGCTCACTGCGACCTCGATTAGCCAAACGTTATTCTAGCCATGGCTGGGCGACCCCTGCTCTCTGTATCTTGGTTACTTCTCTTCTCCTCCTATACTCTCTCTTACTTCTACATGCCCGCCTCTCCTCTGCTCCTCAGGTACAGCTTCTGTCTACCTCTCGTGATCAAACCTCTATAGATTCAGAGTCCCCTCCAAACCCTAATTTTGAGTCTGATTTTGAAATTAATGGTGAAAAATCAGAGAGAAATTCCAGTGCTGTTAATGGTGAGGGGGATTCAGGGTTAGAAGATGAAGATTTAGGTGTTGAGGATCGAAGGGACCCATCTGATGAAATGGAGGACTTTGATGGTTTTGGTGATGAAAACAATGATCGGATTGATGAGAGTGATGATGGGGGTGATGATGAAGGGGATCCTGGTCTCGATGGGGTTAATGCAAAAAATTCGTCTGATTCAGAAAGGATTAATGACAAAACTTCTATACATTCTGATGGGATTAATGGTGATAATATGCAGGGAATTGAGGGGGTTAACTATGGGAAATCAATGAAGCTTGGGGGATTTGATGAGAATTTGGATGAGAGGATTGGTTTCAATGAAATTGCAAAGGGCAGTTTGAGGACTGATAGAAAAGGGAATTCTGGTTTTGTTTGGGACCATGTAATGGGGGTAAGTAGACGAGCTTTTACTAAGACGCCGTCTGATGAAGAAATTGATGGTTTATTGAATCAATGGGATGATTCTCTTGGTTTGGATTTGGGTCTGAATTTGGATGATAAAAGCAAAATGGCATTCAGTTCAGATGATCAACCAGTTGATGACACTGTTCGCTCTAAAATGCAGGAGATTAACAAGGTAGAAGATGCACTGCTTTTGAAAACTAGTGGTGGGTCTTCAACCTTAAGGGATGGGTGGGCTCCTTGGTTTGAGAGCATTCAAAAGAGGTCTTCGAAGGGGGATTTTATGAAGAGAGATAGGGCTGTAAGGTCTACACTAGAAGTGTTGAATCCTATGAACAATCCACTTCTTCAAGACCCAGATAGTCCTGGTGTAACAGGGCTCACAAAGAGCGATAAGCTAATTCAGAAAGCCATGAGGAGCAAGCTCGAAAAAACTCCTTTTGGTGTTGAGAAGACACCTGAGGTTAAGAGTTTTGAAAATCAGGCGGGGAGATTTCAGATGAGTGAGGCTCAAAAGGTGAGAAGAAAACCCTTGAATAATAGTGTTGGCAATACTACTGAAATGAATGGGGAGAACAATGCTGAGAGTTTTAGGCATTTGAGCTTGAGCAAGAAGGGAGAAAATAGTACAGATGACATAATTATCAAGAAAAGGGGCATGGTTGACACAGACATGCTTAATTATGAGAAAAATGAGTCTAGAGAATCGAATACAGTGATAACCAATGTGGAGTCTCAAGGTAAGCAAGAAATTAAAACCTTGGAGCATTCTCATCATGTTAATGGTCGGATATGGGGCTACTATCCTGGTCTAGAGCCTTCTCTTTCATATTCGGATTTCATGGATCGGTTTTTCAGATATGGAAAGTGTTCCCTGCAAGTTTTCATGGTGTGGAATAGTCCACCGTGGTCTTACACAGTTCGCTACCAGCGAGGTCTAGAAAGTTTGCTGCACCTGCATCCAGATGCTTGTGTTGTGATGTTTTCTGAGACAATGGAGCTTGATTTCTTTAAGGACTTTGTGAAGGATGGGTATTGGCTTATAACTTATTTGTTCTTATTTTATTGGTTATGAATATTTATGGTTACATGTCTATAAATTTATTTTCAAATATGGAAAAATCAGAAGAACATATTAAAAATGTTAAATAAGTTTTGTGAATGGCTAATGAGAAAAATAGAAACGTTTAAAAGTGAAGCATTTACTGAAGTCTGAACACCTTTTTCTAATTAGGCATCACCCAAATTTGGGATCCCTTAAGAATAGTTCTGACATTCCTGGAAACTTCATTGAAACATTTAGGTCACTGAATCATATTCCCAATGTTTTCAGTTTTTTCGGTGAGTAAGCTGGCAACCAAGGTAAGCTCAGTGGTAGAATATTTGACTGCAGATCAAGGTAATCTGGCAACCAAATTTAAAATCATTTTCCTTTTGTGGTCCTGGTGTCCCAAACACTAAGCGAGAGGTCGATCCCTCTGATGAGAAATCCAAGATTTGTTGAATCAACTGGTTGAGTCTTTTGATTTGGATTTGACTTGGATTTTGGGACGATAAGAGCAAAATTTCATTCAGTTCAGACGGTTAGCTGGTTGATGAAACCGTGGGCACAAAAATGGAGAAGATGAACAAGTGGAGGAAATTAACAAAGTTGAGGAGACACCATGGTGTGGAGTAGTCCACGATGGTCATACAAAGTCTGCTACCATCGCGTTCTTGAATGTTTGCTGCACTATCATCCTGATGCTTGCGTTGTGATGTTTTTGGAAATGCTGGAGCTTTGAATTCTTCAATAACTTCCTGAAAGGATGGAGACTGTCTATGTCTTATTTGTTCTTGCTCTACTTGGTGATGAATTTCTATGGAACATGTCTAGCTTGATCTTTTAAGTGATGTTTGTGTTTTCGCGCAAACATTGGTGTTTGAGTAGCCAAAATATAAAAAAGTTTCACTTGAGAAGTATGTGTGTGTGTCTATATATATATATATATATATTATATAGGAAAAAATTTATATAAGGTGCACCTTAAAATATAGAATTAAGGTGCACCTCAAAAATCCCTTGAAAAAGAATGTTTTGATGTTGGAAAAACATCTAATGGATCACCTCGACGTTGAGATGCATAGATATGGAGAAAAGAAAGATTTCAAGTTCCAAACCTAATACATCTTGCAACACATTATCTAGACCGTCCATTTTCAAGATTTTCAGATCTGCTTGATTTGAACCATTTTTTGGAGTTTAATAATTTATAATTAGAGATGGAAATAGAATGCCAATGTGAATGGTTTCTGATGAATCTGGAGGGATAATAACGAGACCTTTATAAGTATTGAGACCTACATATCGGTTCGTAATATCATATTAGAGACTCATTATTGTCTAGATGCGAGTGAGGAAGATGGTTCGGGTTGCTAGGGCAAGATACCTCCTTAGGAAATGGGCAAATGTTGCTTTGAGTGAGTTATGCGGCTAAGGATTGACTTAAGGTGCAACAGAAGACCCCACCAGTGGGATTAGTGAGATTGAAGTTTGAATGCAAGCTTATTTGCATGGGATGCAATGATGCTTAAGGCCTCCAGATCCTTTGAGTGAATATCATGAGTTTAAGGAGGAGTATAGGTCTTGGCTTGCCTGGATAAGGCCTTCTGTATTTAAAGCTTTGTGTGGAAGTGGGATTTCTTGAATATCATTCTGTGACTGTTGACCCCGATAATCCTGAAATCTTGGCATGTGGCGGGTTTGTTGGCATGATCTGTGTGCTGTTATATGTCATTCACCCATGAATGGCAGGGGTTATACTGAGGCAGCTTATTGTTTGACTAGGATGGATATTTGTCACGTCACTTTTATTTGGATAACTTTCCCCTTTGGTCTTGTATATTCTCCCTAAGCATTTCCAGGCCTTTAATGTCTTTGTGTTTTTCACCATGTCTATTTGAATGTACTCTATTCACTTTATGAATGAGCCCACATATCAAAGTTTGCTAGACCATCATCCAGATATCTGTATTATGATATTTTCTGAAAACAATGGAGCTTGATTTCTTCGCGGCTTTGAAATGGATGACATATTGGCTCATAACTTATTTGTTCTTATTTTTTTGGGTGAAACATATCTATAGTTCAGCTACAAATAAAGCTTTTCACACCATTAAATAGAAAATGATGAGTGGTCCAATGCTTGCATTGCCAGATTTCAATCAGGTTTTCAAGGTAGATTGTGATTCTTCTCACATGGGGATTGGTGCAGTGCTTAGTCAAGAAAAGAAGCCTATTCCTTTCTTTAGTGAAAAACTCAATGAGGCAAGAAGAAAATATTCCACATATGATGTTGAGTTCTATGTAATTGTCCAAGCCCTAATACATTGAGAACATTATTTGGTGTAATGAAAGTTTTTCCTATGTACTAATGATGATGCATTGAAGCACATCAATAGTCAGAAGAAGCTTAGTGCACGACGTGCAAAGTGGGTGTACTTGCAAGACTTCACATTCACTATTTGGCACCAACAGGGGATCAGAAACGAATGGCCGATGTGTTGAGCTGATATTTATATCTCTTGCGCACTTTGGCTGTGAATGTGGTGAGTCTTGAAGCTTTTCAAGAAGCATATTTGGAGGATCCATATTTCAGCCCCATTGTTTCAAAGTGCAGTTCAGGTGATCATTCCTCTTACTACTGGTTCATTTTATCTTATGGATATTTATTTTATAGTACACAGTTATGTATTCCTGATACTTGGTTACGAGAGCATCTTATATCGAACCTCCATGGAGGAGGCCTTGGTGGTCATTTTGGCAAAGATAAGATGTATGCCGTGGTGGAGGAGCAGTATTTTTTGCCACACATGAGGAAGGATGTGTATCATTTTGTTGACTGGTGTAAAGTATGTCAAGTGGCTAAGGGACATTCTTAGAACACGGTCCATTACACACCATTACTACCCCAACTAGGCCGTGGGTTGACTTATCCATGGATTTCGTTGTGGGATTGCTTAGGATAGCACAAGGGTATGATTCAATTATGGTCGTGGTGGATTGATTTTCTAAGATGGCACATTTTATACTGTGTAAGAGGACCACAAATGCTACGATGGTTGATATTCTCTTCTTTAAGGAAATAGTGCGATTGCATGGGCTTCCTAAGACCATTACTTTTGATCGTGATACTCGTTTTCTTAGTCATTTTTGGTGGACTTTATGGGGAAAATGGGTACTAGGTCACAGTTCAGTAGGGCTTATCACCCACAGATAGATGGCCATGCCGAGGTGATCAATAGAAGTGTGGGCAACATGCTAAGGAGTTTGGTTGCAGAAAATGTGAAAGTGTGGGATTTCGTGTTACCAAAAGCTGATTTTGCTTATAATAATTCTCCAAATAGGTCAACTGGGAAGATTCCTTTTACAGTGGTTTATGGTATGTCTCCTTTACATTTTCATGATTTGATTCATTTATTTGCACATGAGACTGTCGATATAGATCCTGTGAGCATGCCTGAATATATGGAGTTACACAAGAATGTTTGAAGAAGCTAGAAGAGAGCTATGACAGGCACCATGATGCTGTGAATCGTCATTCTCGTGCGCAATTATTTGATGTTGGAGATCTTGTGATGGCATATTTGAGACTTGAAAGGTTTCATGTTGGCACCTATGGAAAACTCAAAGCCAGGAAGATTGGACCTTGCCAGATCAAAAAGAAGATTAATGACAATGCTTCTGAAGTGGGGCTGCTCAGCGGATGGAAAATCTCTCTAGTCTTCAATGTTCGAGATCTATTTGTATTCCGTGGTGATGCTGACACGATGCAGTCGAGTCTTCTCCAAACTGGGAAGGATGATGCAAATTGAATTTAGAAAAGACAAAAAAAAGAGTTTATTTGAAACTTTATTTTAGCTTTTTGTTCTTTTAGGGGCACGGATATAATTTTTTTTATTTTGTTGGTTGAATTGTGACCGAAGGCATGAGGAGTAGAAGGGATATTTAGTTTAGAATTTAGGGTAGTGAGTAAGTTGCTATGTAAGGGGGTTGACGTGATTCTCTTATGGGAAGATGGATATGTTAAAGGGGGTCAAAGGAGGAAAGTAGATAAAGTTGATGACATAAGATAAGTAGAGAGAGAGATTTGTGGGGTCCATGTGACTTAAGAGAGAGAGATTTGTGGGGTCTATGTGACTTAGAGAGAGAGAGAGAGAGATGGACTAATGTTTGTTAGAGAGATAGAAAGAGGGGGAGATTTTTTTTGGTGGGTTTTAGTTGGTATGTGAAAAGGTGATACGTGCCTCTTAGAGGGGGAGACTTGGTAATTTTTTTTAGAGTTTTTTTTATGAAAACAAGAGAGAGTTTACTTCTTCTCTTTGGGCTTGATTTACAACCATATTACTTTCTCCATACTTGTTGAATTTTGCTTGCTTCAAAATCGAAAGAAGGTCGGATTTAATATCCGGGATACTTTTGCATCAATTGTTCATTTGTACCCTGAATTCAAGAGCTGAGTGTTTTTATGCAGATATCTGCTGCTATTTATGTTGTTTTGTCTTGATCTTTGTTTTTGTCTCCTTGTCTTTAGTTATGTATCCATCCAAAGATTTGTTTTGTGGTGAATCATATCCACATTGATTAATAGTTTGATTCTTGCTTGTTTTCTCAGCTATAAAATTGCTGTGGTCATGCCAAACCTTGATGAACTTTTGAAAGATACTCCAACCCGTGTGTTTGCATATGTTTGGCATGAATGGAAAAAGGTTCCTCTTTATCACATTCATTATAGCGAGCTTCTACGCCTTGCTGCACTCTACAAGTGAGTTTTTGCTTCTTTAAGTGTTTTTTTTCCATTGAATAATATTAGGCTCGAAATCTGAACTGGGTTCTTTGACTTTCCTGGATCACTTTGCACTCAGTAGTTTGATGATCATCAAAGAATGCTGATTATTATTCATTATTTAACAGTATCTCTTTCATTCTGGTTTAGGGAAAAAAAAGGGTGTGGTTTGTATAAGGTTGCAACCTTAAACAATCAAATTAAGCTGCACCTCCAAAATTTACCATAAATATAATTTTGGTGTCAAAAAATTCTTAGGATGACTTAAGAATCAATTTTCATCTCTAATTATAAAATCTTAAACTCCAAAAATGGTTCAAATCAAGTAGATCTATAAACACTTGAAAATCTTGAAAATGGATGGTCCAAATAATGTGTTACAAGGTATACTATTTCTAGAACTCGAAATATTTTTTTCTTTTCATATTCATACATCTCGATGTCGAGATGATCAATTAGAGGGTTTTCCAACATCAAAACAACCTTTTATGATGGATATTTGATGTGCACTTTAATTCTACATTTTAAGGTTGCAATCTTATAAAAAAAATTTCCAAAAAAAAAAAAAAAGCTTATGTTGTCCGACTTGGTTTTGCTTGCAATTCGTAACGCCTTGTGCATCTTGAATTGGTACTTGAAGATTTAAACAATGATGTAGTTATAATAGTTACTGTTATTTGTCTTCTCTTCGCGATTAATGTTAATGAAATCATGCCTGTATATTTAAAAAGTAGTTTTGTCTTTAAACCTACATGTAGTAAAATTATGAAGTGTTTTGAGCAGCATTTTTAGCTGATCAGTTTCAGTTATCTAGTAGTAGTTGCAGCAATTGTGTGACTGTACCTTTTCTCTTCCAAGTTTCTTTGAAGTTTAACTTCAAAATTCTTACTTACTACTATGAGATAACCCTGATGTCTACAATGGGAAAGAGGTGCATTTGGGGTTGCTTCCGATACTCTGAATTAAACAGATAATTGGGGGTTGCTTGTCAATGCTTTTTCTCTGCCAACCTCCTTTTCTCGTGGCCCTTTGGTGATTCATGGAAGTTTGGAGAACTAGGATGGATCTTCCCTGGTCTTGATCTTAGATTGTGAATCCTGGGCTAATTAGCTTAAGGTTCATTGGTTGGTATTGTTTTGGTTCTTGTAGTATGATGGCAGTTCTTCTCGTATGATGACAATTTTTTTGGCTCATTCCTTTAGTCTCTTGTTATACTTCAGCATTTGTCATCATATGCATTTCACAAGGGAGTGTTCTCATTTGATTGATTCTCAATCCACTTGGCAGACAGATGGAAACCGGGAACATTTTTGCAACTATCTAGGTTTTGTCTCTTTTTGCTATGGTATCCTGAAGTATTTGTTACTCCTCCCTTAGAACTCTATCAGATTCACGTGATCCCGAAAGGTTTTCATCATTGTCGTGTAGTTAAATTGTACATAATTTTGTGCCTAGTTTTGTTGCTGTCATTGTTCCAAGTGAAAATATGACGTTTATTTTATTTGTTTTAACCCTTTTTTGGATCATGAGTGCTTGGGTTACTAATCTCACCATTAGTTTCATGCATAAGAGAAGAAATTGTTGGGAATTAGTTGTCTGCATTCAATACTTTAGGCTAATTTTTGCACTTGAAACTTCATGACCCTTCTTTTAATGCAGGTATGGGGGAATTTATCTTGACTCAGATGTTGTAGTGTTGAAGCCTCTACATTCACTTAACAATTCCGTTGGTGTGGAGGATCAACCTAATGGTGGTGTTTCTCTCAATGGTGCTGTAATGGCTTTTAAACGACATAGGTATGGTTGGAATGCCATGACCAAGAATGTCTTCTCATTTTGAAATTATGTTTTTAGGTTGAAACTAGAGTATATAAAATATTATCCATACTTGGTCGCTTAATCAGATCTTGGGCTTTTGCATTTGACTTTATTATAAATTTATCTCCTTCGGGTTTTAGTGATCAGTCACATTATCGTTGTATGGATCTATGTTGTTTTTGTCGGTCATCTTCTTTTGTGTATTAAGAAAGTTGTTCAGGCCTATTGCTTGGATAAGGTATGCTTAGTAGAAGTTCAATCTATGGAGCAATAATACATGTCTATAATTATTGTCTTATGGATCTATTGTCATTGTGGTTATGCAATGTTTTTAGTCAACATTCCAAAATATCACTTATATATGCCATTATCTTAAAAAAGGAACATTTATTGCTGGGGTTGTTACATATTTGTACATCCAGATGGAGTTTAACAATCTCAGTGTTTAAGGGGTTTAACAATCTTAGTGTTTGGTAATAAGGATGCAGTACTTATTTATTGTGACTTTCTTTTTCATGGATATGAAATCTGAGTGGCACCCCACGATTTAAGGGAATTTGATGCATATAGAGGGAACTTGTCAGTTTTTTAGTTTGTAGGTAAAATGTACTTTCTTTTGTGGTTAGCGGTCTTTCTTCTCTTGGTTGTTTGTAAGAACTATTCAAGCATGGAATTGATCACTATCTTCTTAGCATTGACTGACTAACCAGTGTTGGATTTCCCTCCTTAAAAATGAAAATCAAGTGTTGGCATGGTCAAATTATAACTTGCTAAGCAAATTCTACACTTTTGTTACTTTAGCAAACTATGGTTTGTGCACAAACCCTCCTTGCATCATTTCATGTATCTTCTTATAAATTATAATGACGTTAATATTTGGTTAAATCCATCAAATAGAGCAATGAAGACGCCTTTATTGAAATTGTTACAGTCCTTTCATTATGAAGTGCCTCAAGGAATTCTATTCAACATACGATGATACCTCCGTGAGGTGGAATGGAGCAGAACTCATTACAAGGGTTGCAGGTCGATTTATCGGCGAAAGGAACAATAACGAGCTAAAGACAGTATCACCTGTTAGATTCTTTCCTCTTAGTCCAGCGAATATCACTAGGTATACTGCCATTCTTCTGATGATTTTGTTAGTTTGATTTCTGATGGAGAACAAAAAGTATCAAATGGTACTAGTACCACCCATATTTCTGAGATTTGCTCCTTTGATGATTTCCCTTAGTTCTGTATTTGTGCTGGGTGTCAACTTTCAAAAATCTGTTATGTAGGATCATATGGTTCAATTGGCGTTAAATTGGATGCAACATGGGAGAACTTTAACAAAAATTAAGTTTTGAAATAACTGTATAAGGAACACTCAAAACATAATAGAAAGGGTTATGACATGTATAATAGGTGTTTTTATAATTGTATTCATCAAATATTTGTATAACCTTTTGAAAAACTGGAAACCAAGATTCATTCTTTTATTTTCTGTCACAGATATTTCCGAGCAGCATCTGATGAGGCTGAGAAAGGTGAGCAAGAATCATTGTTTCAGAGGATCATCGATGAATCAATTGCCTTTCATTTTTGGAACAGTTTTACTTCAAGTCTGGTGCCAGAACCCGGAAGCCTTGTTGAGAGGCTTATCAATTACCATTGTCTTCATTGTCTTGATATATTGTGAATTTTGCAGTGAGTTTGGTGTTATCGTTTAGGGAAAGTGAGAAATCTCAGCTCATAAGTTGCAAATCTGAGCTTAACGAGTCATTACCAAAGTTAGGATACAAGTCAGCTGGGCTATAGGAGGGCAAGATCAAGATACTCAATATTGAAAAATCCAAATCTCTTTCTTGAAAATAATCATATGGTAATCATAAGATGGATATCAAAATTTCAGATATAAAATCTTCCCCAATGGCCCTATTGTTTGAGGGAGTTTTGTACTGGAGCAAGCTGTATGTGCTCCACAAGAATGTAATAATAATGTGTATTTACAATGAAGTTCTCTACCATAGTGGTCCCACAAGAAAGTTTTCTACTTAGATGGTACGTTGAATGATCCTACCTAGTAATTACTTGCAGGAGAAACCGTGACGAGCATCGAAAAGTCAAGTTATAATCATTCTTGGCTATAATTATTTATTAAGATTTAGATTGAATTTGTGATCTGACCGGTTGGACTATTGATTGGGGTTTTGTCAGGTTTAGTGTTTGGGTTTGGTTGAAAATAAATCAATATTTGATAGTATTGGCCAATCATACCAGTTGGTTTTAATCAACTAGCTAAAGAAATTGGGTTAAATTTTTAATACATTTTATATTTTAAACTATATATTTATATCTTTATTTGTCTTGTTCAAGAATCTTGTCCTATCTGCTCGACCAATGGTTGGGGTAGTTTTGATTGGATTGAATCCCTTGTGATTTGGTGGCCAGTGCTATCACTGCTCTTGGCCACTAACTTATATCTGGGAGATAGAAGTGTATCATTTTTCTTCACGAAGTTCAATAGAAGTTCTTTCATAATTTGAGCGAGTTCACATTTGCTAGCATCTATGGGCTAGAGGTGACCTTCCTATAACAACAATTCGATTTCACATTAATAGCTAGGGGCGAAGTAAATGCCTATATTTTTGCAGAACGAACATGGATTTTGAAATACGGAGCATGGATTTCTACACAAGGTTCTTTGACACATGGGAAGGGCAAACCTTTACATCAATCATTGTAGCTTGAACATTATGGTCGTAAAAAAATATAGGATTTCAAGTTCTAAAAATAGTGTATATTGCGGTAAATTATCTAGACCATTTATTTTACCTTAAAAATAATTATTCATAGATGCGTAAGATCTATACCACTTTTTGAGTTTCGAATTTCATTGTCAATATTAAAAATTGATTTTAGCGCCATCGTGGAGATTTTTGTTGCCAAAAGTGCTTTCCGATCGTGGATTTGAGGTGAAGCTGTAATTTATTTTTATATACCCTAGTCCTTATAGAAACCTCATCCTAAAACAAATTGAATTTTTATATACCCTAGTCCTTATAGAAACCTCATCCTAAAACAAATTGAATTTTGAGTTAATCTTTCCCTCAAAAAATTTAATGGTTATTGTTCAATCTTGGGACATCACTTCTTTTAACCATATAAAGAGTGCAAATTAATTATTTTTCTTATTTTCCTCTTGAGATTGATGACTGGCTTCTAAAGATTATATTCCCAAAAGTTTAGGAGTCCAAAAAATTATATTTGGATTGAGTTTTGAGGAGCACATGAACAGCATGCTCTTACGAGCATGAAATCTTACTTGTAAGAATACCATGAATTTTAGGTCATGTGGGGCGCATGTTTGCTTTTAAGGCGTGGTTTCCATAAGGTTGCAATCTAAAAACAATCCAATTAAGGGCGCACTTTCAAATTTTATGGTAAGATATAATTTTGACGTAAAATATTATTAGGATTCTTTCAAAATCTATTTTTATATTTAATTATAAAATTTTAAATTTTAAAAATAGTTAAAATCAAGTAGATCTATAAATATATGAAAATCTTGAAAATAGACGATCTAGATAATATCATGTAAAAAATACTATTTTTTAGACTCAAAGTATTTTTATTTTCATAGTCCCAATATTAAAACAGCCTCTTCCAATAGAGTTTTGAGATGCATCTGTCGAACAAAAGTTGCAACCTCGTACAAACTTTTTCGTTGCCTTAATGGCATGCTCTTTATTGGTTCCCATTATAATATAAATATATATGGACTCAATGACTCAGAGGAACATGACCAAACCAATTTTCAGACTCAAACAGCTTTTACCTCTCTCTCAAACTTTGACTCATCCATTATTTTATTTTTTCATGCAACTCTCTTTGACCTCTCTCTCTTTCTCTGGAACTAGATTCCAAGGTTGAGATTTTATGGTACCAGCAAGCAGTTATGCTCCCCCTTCTGAAGAAAAACTTAAAGTGGGCTCATCTGCTTGGATCGTTTCAAAATTAGCTTGATAAAAAATCGCCTATCAGGATTGGGAATCGGTGTGGATTAACCCGATTTGTAGTTGGAACTAGGGATCGGTCTATCTTTGGCTTACTAGAGAATTGTGCAATCTGGATTGTTTGGTTTCCTTTTTGTTTTTAATTTTTTTGAAAATTCAAATTATTATTTAAATTATTCAAGAGATTCTCACACTCGAGAAAAGGTCCAATTTTCCGATCTGGCTTGAATTCCTAGATGGCTGGTTGGCCTAATTGATCAAATGTCAGAAACACTACCTTGAAATAATCTAAGAAGGAAAATGGTTTGATACAGCTGCAGTTCTATTAAAATAAGTAAAGACTCACCTCATAACTCATCAAATATTACAATTCAAACATTGAAAAACCTTTGCATCGATCATCTCGGCTTGAATGCTATGGTTGGTAAAAAAACAAATTAGGATTTTAAGCTTTCAAAATAGTGTATATTGTAACAAGTTATCTATACCATCCATTTTGCTCTAAAAAGAAGTCCAATCCATGATTGTGGAGAATTCTTTATTTTCATTTAATCTCTAAGATGTGTCGCATGCTGCTGTGGTCGCTAAAACCTCATCCTTCTATTAATCCTCAAAGCCCACAAAATAGTATGTTATGGCTCCAATCCCAACTTACCAGTCCACACAAAGGCTAGGACTCGAAGCAATGTTCGCAAACTCAGCCAAGTAGTGTCTACTCAGCTGAGTTACTCTGGTTGGGGTCCCTGCCGAGCTCAAATTATCCCGGGTTAGGGGTCCAACTCAGGGATATTTAAAAAAATAGAAAAACCATAAAAAATCCTAAAAAAAAAAGAATTTATTTGAGATTTTTTTTTTTAGTGTTTCCTATCATTTTGGCAAAGATTTGTTAGTGTTTTGGCCATAAATAATTACTTTTATATTTTCCCATCTTTTTTAGATTATTTCAAAAATACCCCACCCAAAAGTTGATGTTTAAGATCTTTTTTTTCTAAGCTACATCTTTTAATCTCATTTTGATGTGTTTTGCTTCATGTTACTTTAAATATATATTTCCTATTTCTTGAATTTTTTTAGATTTTTTTATTCCACTACTCGAGCCGAGTTACTCTGACTTGACCCGAGTACTCGGACTCGGCCGGAACAGTTGGTTCCACCATTCATTTTAGTAGCCAGGACAAATAGAAGTGGAACCATTTTGGGAACAAGAATAAACAAATCAGCAAAGTTTAGAAATGGTTTGGTTGGGAGGATACCTTCCCGGAGGAGGAACACATGTCACTCCAGATAAATTAATACCAGAAGGAGAACCTTCTCACATGAGCATTTGAAAGAGAGATTAAAATTCATGGTTGAGAAATCCATAAATTAGAAAGAACCAACTTATAATAGATTACACATACAAATGAACAAAATATATCCAAGCTTGGGATCTTCATAGTGCATCTCAAGGAAATGGGGGTACCATACAAACTCCTCCAATATCTGTCTATTCTACTACACAAAACCATACTAGTGGCAAATGGAGGGTTCAGATGGTCCATCTAAATGGATGAATCCTCACCATCCATTCTCACTAATTTGAAGGGAAAATGGTGGAGCTCTAGTTAATGGCATTGGGACCATAGCAAGAGCTCTTCTCACGGTTCCATATCCATTGCACTAGGAACCTCCTCCCCTTCACACCATTGACATTATAAGCCCTTCCAAGTGAATCAAATGACACCACTCCCACATACCCACCCCCTCCCCCAGATCCAAAAACCCCTACACACACATCAGCTATCTCAGTTGGGGCTGTAGGGTCATCCCCAGCATACCAAGCATTGATCAATGGATTTGAGGCCATTTCAGCTAATTCATGCCCTATAACACTAACCATCCCATCCACCCCTACATCCCCATTAGGAGGCCCCATGACATTCCCTTTTCTAGGACTAGGAGGATCCATATAGCTAGGCAATGCAAAGGGGTAGGCACACATTGTGGGACACTGAGCCCCACTATAGCCAACCCATGCATAAGGCACGGTGCTGCCCACTATGGCCGGGAAGGTGAAGTAGTGGAACCCACATACCGCACGGCAAAAATCTTGGACTTCAACGTCGGCAGACGTTAGGACTAGATAGAGGCCGCCTTTAGTGTCGATTGTCGACCTTGAAGTAGCGGCCTCGATCACCGATTGTATCATTAGGCGAGTTAAGGAGGTCCCATGGGAGTACGAGGAGCCTGAGATCTCACCTGCTAGGGTTATGTCTCGAGTTACGCTGGCTCCGGTTTGGTCGGTATAGAGGGAGATGGTTCTCCACCACTCCGACACTGAGGGGGAGGGGGCGCCAGAGAATGAGAGGGAGAGGAGGAAGTCGCGAATGATTGACTGGTGAGAGGGGTTCCAAAAGCCATACCATATGATATAGAGTTTGATCGGGGAGCTTAGTACCGGTCCCATGTGGTACTCCAGGTTCAAAAGCTCCGATGGTTGCTCGAGGGCCTTTGCGTCACCAAAGTGGTGACTTTCCGAATGCCGCTGGGCATCAGCCTCTTGCTTGAAATTGAAAGAGAAGAAGAAAAGAAGAAGAAGGAAAAGAGAGTGGCACCAGGCACCTAGCATTGCTGGTGCTAGTGATGGTGTGGCTACACACCGGAGTCTTGGTGCTGGTGATGGCACATATGGTGGTTGTGAGGCTAAACAATTAGTATTAGTGTTTGGGGTGGTGGTAGTCAAGAAGGGTTGGAGGGAAAGGGAGAGGGAGGGGACCTTTTAATGGCAGAGGCTTGGGAGAGTGGGGGGTGCTTGGTTGAAATTTTAATATTAATAGGAATTGGTCTTCACATGGAAGCACTTGAAATTTTTGATTGGCTTCCCAAAAAGAGGCTTTTGAAATCAGGTCATATAATATGGTTATTTCAGCTAGTATTTCTCTATTTTGATGGGGGCTAATATCTCTTAGATATTTTAATGGAGTTGATGATATAACCTTAGGTGTGTTGGCTTCAATCCCGTTTAGATAGGGGGTGGGTGGCCCCATTTCTAATTTTTTATTTAAACTTTTATTTAAGTAAGTGTTGGGTATAGGGATTCTATTTGGGATGAAGTTTCTATAAGGCTGAGGCTTTATAAAAACAAAATAAAGCGTCACGTCAAATTTTAGTTCGAAAAATACTTCCGATAACGGAAATCTCCATGATAGCTCTAAAATCATTTTTAAGTACCGACAACAACATTTGAAACTTAAAAAAATAGAACAGATCTTGCAGATCTTTGACCACTTATTTTGGACGGTCTAGATAATTTGTTACAATGACACTATTTTTAAAGCCTGAAATCCTAATTTTTTTCACAACCATAATGTTCAAACCAATGACACTATTTTTAGAGCCTGAAATCCTAATTTGTTTCACAACCATAATGTTCAAACCAAGATGATCAATGTAAAGGTTTTCCAATGCTTGAATGTTAATTTTTGATGGGTTATCAGGCGAGGCTGTACTTATTTTGATAGGGGCTGCAGCCCTATCAAACCATTTTCCTTCTATTTGTAGTGAATATTAATGGAGTTTTGGGGATGAACTAAGTTTCTTTCTTTTCATTGATGTGATATGTTTACATTTGATTATTCAAGGTTTAATTTTTGTCTGATTTTGAATTGACATTGTTTAGGTCCCCTAGTGTTTGATTTTGCCCATACATGGTTGAACTTGCATGTGCTTTCGGTGCACATGGTTCTAAATGAACTTGGCCAAGGCACAAACCCCAAGCAAATGAATTTGGAGACATCTCTCTCTCTCTCTCTCTCTAACGCCCAACAAAATTTGGAGACCCCTCTCTCTCTATAAATATCTTCTTCTATGGTCCTATGGTTTGGTGGAACCAGTCGTTGAGGAGAGGTGCATGTGATGATATGTCTGCCCAATACACATCACTAACCTTTCTATAATCAGGAAGACTTGGGACCATGACAATGGTCAATTAGCATGATTGCTAATCTTTTGGTTCCCTTGTGATTCATTTCATTTTCCTTTTGCTTTTGATTTGTCCATTGATTGATATGGACTTTTAGCCTACTTTCTCAGTCGTAAAACAACTATTTTATAGTCTCCAATGTCAAAAGACACAACTTTCCGAGATATATTAAAGGAAAAAAATTATCAGGCACCTCAAGTCGGGATAATATAGTTCAAGTGCCGGAAAGTTTACCAGTCAATTGTCTCCCCTTAAACCATCATGGATACAGAAAAATGGATTTTATCTCTTATAAGATCCATTATGTACCATGTTTTTTGGATGGTTAATTTTAAGTCTCTACAAGAGATTCGCACTATTTTTGAAGCTTTTAAATTATGCATTTAGATGGAAAATAGCAGGTTGTCTCAAAGATTTTCAATGCCAATGCTACATTTTCTGGGATGTTTTGAAGTGCGGCTTTACTAAGATTTGTAAAGCCGCGGCCTCATAAGAACGTCACACTTATATCAATCTATGCTCTTAAAGAGAATCAAATGTGTCCCTAATAACTCAAATTTTATACTCCCCAATGTACTCATGATGGTTAAAAATATGAGTCCATGCTTTCAAATTATGATAATTTTAGAGAAACTTATTCCATATTCTTTTAACCTATTCTAAATAGCCAATCGTTCTTTTAATCAAACTTCAAATTGCCCATCAAATGAGATGTAAATGGGTTTAGAAATTTATCAAAATACATGTAATTCAAATTTTAAGTATATTGAAAAAACTTCTCATAAATTTATTCTTTAGATATGTATATATCTATTAAGTAATGATCCTATAGGACCCTCCCCCACCCATGTGTGTAGGACCCTCAAGGATCACCATTAAAGTTGATATATATCTTTAAAAAAGTTATCATATGGGTGTGATACTTGACTTTTCTAGAGATCTGTACCAACTTTAATGGTGATCTTTTGAGGGTCCACACATAGGTGGGATTTTCTAGAGATCTGTACCAACTTTAATGGTGATCTTTTGAGGGTCCTACACACATAGGTGGGAGAGGGTCCTATATAATCATTCCTCATATCTATTAAGGAAATATATACAAAAGAGAATATTTACTTTTTGTACAAGGACATCATAAACACTATTGTCCATCAGATTTCAAATCGAATGACTGTAGGATTGTTATTGACTAGACAAGTCAATTTTTTTTTTTTTTCTAAACTTCATAACATACCCCCTGTCATGTAATTTGACATCTAATGGCTAGGAGTACTTGTGACCCCTTTATAACAAAAGTAAATGATCTCATAGCATACAATCCTTTTTTTTCTTTTTTTTGGGTAAGTCATTGGGGGAGAAGGCTCTCTACCCGTTTTTCATTAATACTTAAAAATATAAAAGATTACAACTCATTTCTTAACAACCCTGGAATAGGGCACTTGTGACAAATCATGAAGTAAAGCAAGAGAAATAAAGTCCGGCGGACGAGAACGCCGAACAATGGCTTGTGAATGAGATGTGGCCCTCTTTGCGAGAATATTAGCCACCATATTGGCCTCATTAAAAACATAGGTAATAGACCGCCAATGATTAGAAAGACATTGTCTGCAATTTATTGCAATCGTATATAACTTCCAAGAGATCGAGAATGTTCATGAATAACATTAACGAGCAAGGCTGAGTCACTTTCAATCTGACGAGGAAAACATTTTAACTGAACGGTTAGGATCAAGCCTTCTTCACGAGTAGAGAATTCCAAATAATAATTGGAAGCAATTCCAAAAGGTTTGGAGAACGCTGCAATAAAGTCACCATCACAGTTCCTGATAACACCTGTCCCACCTGCTGGACCTAGGTTATGCAAGAAAGCCCCATCAATGTTTAGCTTGAAGTGATCACGCCATTGGGATAGCAAACTGGTCTTTCTGTTGACGCCAAGTGAATACTAGATTATCAATGATCGTTTTTTCTGACACATGATATACTCAGGATTTAACATCAACAACTCCTGAACATGAGAAACAATCTATCGACGCAATTGTTCCCTCATGATTGATCTTGATTGAGAAACTCTTCGATTGCGCTCAGCCCTTAAAAACCAGATAGTTGTGAAGAGTAAAGAAATCCAAATATTACATAATTCATTGGATTGGAATCTGAAAAAACCAACTTCTCAACATAATCAGGGCAAAAGGGCCTGGTATGAATCGCTTACCGTACCGTCATGCAAGAGATCTCCATATAGTCAATGAAAAATCATAAAGGAATAGTAGATGACAAGGACTATCATCACTATTTTTGCAAAAGGGACATACAGAAGGAGCTATAGCTATCTCATGCTGTTATAGGAGAGAGAGAGTGGGTAGCCGCTTTTGGAGAGCCAACAAAGAGAACCAGTTTTCTCAAGGATGACATTTTGATGACTACAAAGTTCTGAAAATTGGCTGCAAGGTATCCTTGTCTTGGAGAAACTCCCAAACCTCTTTAGTTGAGAACAATCCACTCCCGGAATGAATCCATATAAGAAAATCCCTATGCGAGTATAATGGGAGGATAAAGCTCTCAAGCTCGTGCCATATACAATCCAATTTACTAATGGGACATCCAACATTAAAAGGACATGCCTGTCCAACCTCCTGCCGTATACAATCCTATTTACGATCCTTACGACTTCTTCATTGAAAGTCAAAACAAATTAAGGTAGTTCACATTGGTAAATCGGATTGGAGTGATCAATTTCTCTTGCTCTCTTTTACTAACTAACTAAATTGTTTTTGTAAGTGGTTTTTATTTTACTTCAAAATATTTCAGAAGATGAAAAAAAAAAAACTATTTCACTTTATTTAGGAGCACGAAAACTTCATAAAATTTTGAAAAATAATATCCAAATTTTTTTTTTCAATTGGAAGGCTAAAAAAAAGCAAAACATGCGTCCAAAATGACAAGGTTGGAAGTATTGAGCAAAAATACGGGGACTTATAACCTCATTGAAGAACTGAAGGTATGACTCTTGATAAGGCATAATACCGGATTAAGATTCGTACAACCCGTCCCAAATAGTTGAAAAAAAGCTTTGATGATGATGATAAGTATCCGATCTGTTTTTGTATACACATACTAAGGACCCATTTCAAAAGCTCAAAATATACAAAAATCAAATATTTTTGCAAGGAATGAGCCTATTGGCCATGATTAAAGAAGATATTTTCTAGGGCATAGGATACACACCACAATAGAGTGGCACAACAAAAAGCTAAATATAGAAAAGTGTAAACAGTATGATTATAGACATGAGATATGATTGTACTTCGTTGGTGTGTTTTCAACCCCTGCAGTAGATAATCCACACAAATAAGAAGAAAATGCTCGATTTATAATTTTAAGTAAAAACTCTCATTTAGTAAGATATAAAGATGTTTTAGAAAAGGGAAAAGTTTATATAGAGCTGAGGCTCTAAACAATCACATTCGAGCCTACCTCAAAAATTTCACTAGACAAGATTGTTTTGATGCCCAAATATCCTTAATGCCCAAATATCCTCAAATTAATCATCTCGACATCAAGATGCATGGACATGAGAAAAAGTTGATTTCAAGTTTTTGAAATAGTGTATTTTGTAATGCATTTTTTAACCGTCAATTTTCAAGATTTTCAAGTTTTCATAGATATATCGATCTACACCATTTTTTAAGCTTTAAACTTTATAAATAAAGATAAAAATATATTTTAAAGCTATCACAAAAATTTCCAGCGTTGAAACCACATTTCTCAACACTATTTGAAGGTAGGCTCTAATTTG